TTGAGTTTGAAATTATCAAATTGGATATTTACTATCAATAAGAGATCCCACTATCATTAGTTACCTTACAATCAGCCTGAATTAATGAAATTTAGTAGGTATCGATTGTGCCCCTCTACAGAAAAAAATCATTTTAGATTTGCATCTGTATTTTTAATTCCTAATATTCTAGTTGATTCTATTCATCTTCATTTTATAGAATTTATTCACTTCTTAAATGATAATCTTTCTAACATTTTTACAGGCTCTTTAGGTTTAGTATTACTAGGTTTATTAATTTATTTAAGTTCTGCCCCTAATTCATCTAATACAAATCCTTCATCAGAAAATACTTTTAATGTTAATTTTGGAGATGGAGGTGTAGGTCAAATAATCATCCATCAAATAGTAATTCTAATAATGATAAACTAATTACTTCTCCTAGAGTTGCTGCAGGAATTATTTCTGGAACAATAATAACTGCTGCAGTTAAAGTTGCAAAAACAAATCCTAGAAATGGATTGTTTTTAGGTATTGTTGGTACTATTGGTGGTTTTGCTACTTATGGATTCGGTGAAATGATGAATCATACAAAATTATTCCAATCTCTTAATGAAATAACAAGGCAAACTAATTTATATAATAAAGGTCTATTCTTAATAAATTCTCATTCTTCAATTTTAATTCGTTTACTTAATATACCTATAATTAAAAAGAAGCAACCAAGAATTCCAATAAATGTAAATAGACAAACACATAAAATTAATATAGGATTAGGATTTCCATCACTACCTCTATAATATTCATTTAATAACTTAAATACATCATATGGATTTTCAATGAATTTTGAAATTAATTCTACAAAATTATTACTATTTTCATTTAGAGAATTAATTTTGAAGTTTCCATCTGGTAGAGGACTACCAGATCTTTCATTAGAGTGATCATACATTCTTTCACACATTTCTCTTATTTTTTTTCTTTCTTCATAGTTATAATTCATCATTTCACCTAATCTATAAGTAGCAAAACCACCAATAGTACCAACAACACCTAAAAACAATCCATTTCTAGGATTTGTTTTTGCAATTTTAACTGCAGCAGTTATTATTGTTCCAGAAAGAATTCCCGCAGCAACTCCAGGAGAAGTAATTGGTTTATCATTATTAGAATTAATATTTGATAGATGATTATTTGACCCTACACCTCCATCTCCTAAATTAACATTAAAAGTATTTTTTGATGAAGGATTTGTATTAGATGAATTAGGGGCAGAACTTATATAAATTAATAAACCTAGTAATACTAAACCTAAAGAGCCTGTAGAAATGTTAGAAAGCTTATCATCTAAGAAGTGAACAAATTCTATAAAATAAAGATGAATAGAATCAACTAGAATATTAGGAATTAAAAATACAGATGCAAATCTAAAATGATTTTTATCTGTAGAATAGTAATACTTATGTTTAATAAACTTAATAATGGATAGAATATTATTCTGTAATAAAGAATAATAAGTTTGTAATAATCTATTACATCTATAAATAAGTATTTTAAACCAATAACTAGATATAACCCAAACTAAGTTTAAAGTTAATCGCAGGATACGAAGGGGGAATAGGGCGATCGCTAAAATTTTAAAAGACATTTTTGTAAACATTTTTTTTTAAAAATTAATAAAATTAGATAGCATCAATTAAATAACACTATTTTTATGAAAAATAAAGACATTTAGTTTCTCATTAAATAATGATACTTATAGAATCCACCTCAAAAAGGTATGTCTGAATAAGATCCTTTTCTTTCCTTCTAGAGGAGGATATGTAAATAACTGTTTCGTGTTAAACCCATTACACCCACTAATTCTATATAAACACGTTTTTCTTTAATTTCTTTCTCTAATATTAATTGTCCCGATGCCGGTGCAGATGCTGTAATTGTCTCATAAGGAGGCGGGGGAACGTTAGCCAGCTCTTGCAGGGTGCTTTCGTACTGTGACTTTGACTAATAAAAATCATAAGAATGTTAATGAGTGGATTGTTACATAAACGTTCGGCTCCAAATGTGGAACATAAGAACAAAATAAGACTGAAAGACAAGTTGAAACATACTAGCCATTCAAACTCGTGCTGTTGCTCATTTTTTTCATCCTTGGATGCCATCTGTGCCACATACTGGGAAAGGTTTCTGTACACTGGCTTTGGCCAAAGTCAAGCTCAAACAGATATGCAAAGTACTCAGCAAGGGCAGTAGGAGCACCTTTGCACATAGTGTTTACATCGTCCCCGAGTTGCTCCTTCTTCTTCATCAACTTTTCTACAGACAAGCCATCCTATGGCAGCGTTCCTGTCGTGAGATACAACAAGACATAGCCTAAAGCCTCTAGGTCACTGTGGACCGATTGTTCTATATCAACATAAGTGAGATTGTTAGTGGTAGAAACAAAATAGATAACAAATAACAGTAAAAAATTGTTGCTGCAACTTGACTGGTTGAATGAAAGAAGTCCCGGCACACCTACTTTCTTTTGTATCTCAGCACCAAGTGCTCGTTACACAGTACAAAAAATATCATTAAATACTACAGACGCAGGGCTATCAGATGATATAAATTTTATTCCATAAAAGGCAATGGTGGTGATACAGGAATTACTCAAAAAACTGGAAATTTTATAGATAAAGTACAAAATGTCTTCTACTGTCTATCCTTTCCCTTTCTACTTCTTTTTGTACTAGGACCAGGCTGGTAGTCATTGTCATCTATATTATTATAAATAAACATAGCTTGATGTTAGTATCAGTAATATTAGCTTAGGTATTAAAGAATAATAAAGGATACTGTTTATGAGACACTTGTAGGCAAGTGTTTAGAATGATTACCATCATTCTAGGATTTCGACTACCGTCTCAAAGACCAGCTACACCTTCAAAAAAATCAAAGATTTTTTCTCGGACCACCCCTATTTATAATGATCATTATCTTTTATTTAAAAATAAAATTTAAAAATTAAATTATATTTTAAAAATAAAAAATATTATAATCAATAAATTATTAAACAGTCTTCTATGCTCAAGTTGGTTTTCAGCCCATTTCTCCTTTTTTGGTATATGTTTGAAACTCCGACGTACCTTTTATGGGATTCAGTGACGTCAATTTTACTATATCGGGTATTTTTACGTTACACAGATTTACTTATATATATACTACTTATATACTATATATAGTGCGCGCCATGTTTTCTTTCATAGATCCCAATTTTATATTCTAAAATACTTTTATTCATTGGTTACACAAATGTTATCTATTTATAGATATGTATTTAAAGCACAATTACTATATTAGGTAACAGGTTACACAATTTATGAGTATAAACATTTACCCAGATACATATTACTGTTACCCTTAATTATAATGTCTTTCTTACCCTCTCCAGTGTCAGCGTCAATGCTTGAGAATAGTGGCGTACTGACAAACTGAAGACCTTCCCTCCAGGCAATATGTTTTCCACCAACATAAACCTTTTTGATAGCCCAAAATCAATAAGGTAAACCTTGTTCTCATCACCGTCCACCCCCATGACAGTATTGTCGGGCTTAATGGGGGTATGTATCCTAGTTGTAATATTTCATAAAAATTAAGAGTTACAAAAATTTCTCATGATTACAAATTACTTTTAATTATTTATAAAATTGAATTTTATATTTATAAAAAAGATAAATTGTATAATGGACCAGTAAGATTTAAATCAAAAAATAAATAATGAAGTTAATAAAATTATTGTAAATAATTGGAAATTTCTGGAATATAATTGGCCTATTATAAATCATAATTATAAACATCGTACAGAAATAAAATATATTAAGAATATTAAAGAAGTTTTGTGATAAGTTTAATATAAATACACAAGTACATCATAAGCTATGGGAATCAGATGATTTCGAATTTCCATTTGAAGCTAAATTAGTTGATATCGTCATCAGTAATTCAAGTGAAGCTGCATTAAAAAAAGATGAATTGATTAAATTATAAGAACAATTTTTGAATTTTGATATAGATGAATATAAATATTAATGATGAAGTCAGTGAAAATGATAATGAAGATAATAATAGTAGTGAAGACGATATTCCTAAATTTAATGAAAAGAAAAGAAGAGGTAAAGGGAAAGGAAAGAAAAAACTTGCTGATATTAATAAAGTTAGAAATATAGAAAATGAAACATATAAAATAGAAAGCATAATTGACCATAAAGTCAAACATAATGAATGTATCTTTTTTGTAAAATGGAAAAACTATCCATCAATAGATAATAGCTGGTTGCATATTAACAAATTTAATGAAAAGGAGTTGTTAAATGAATATGTTTTAGAACATCATCTTCACGTATAATATCAAATACTTAAGGTAAAACATTATTAAAACAAAGGATTAAAGGATTGCCTATAGTTATCTTTATAGGTTTTCTTTTTTTTTCTTTTTTTTTGTTATTTATAATAAGATTATCTACTTGTTGTATATCTATCTGTTGTTTAATATTTTCACCTTTTTCTTTTCAATTATCTTTCTCTTTTCAGGGAACATGATCTGGATTATGTTTTCTGCAAACATATTTATTTTTATTACCCTTTTCTGTTATTCTTTTCCTATAAAATTTCCCATTATTCTTTCCTCGTTTAAACTTATGAGTACAAAAGCCATTATACATAGAAAGATATAGAAAATGGTCTGATGAGAACAATTCTTTTATTTTTGTATTGATTTTTTCTTATATTTTTGTGATTATATTGTTTTTAAATAAAATAGTCAAATTCAGCCTGTATAAAAGTATCCATCTCATTGCATAGATTTGTGCATAATTGTATATGATTGATGGGAAGATAATTATTGAGAGCAACCATTTTGAAAGTAAGTTTTATAAATTAATAAAAATTCAATGAAATTTTAGTATGCATGGTTTAAAACTCCGAACTTGTAAAAATATTATAACTAAAGAAAATTGTGCAATGATTTTGTAATCACTATACTATGAGATGTTCTCTATGTCGCGACGTAGGATGCCCTTCGAATGAATGAACTCCAGCCGCCGCAACTAAATTTCCAATGCCAACATATCAGTCGTCTATTTCAATTGTGAACTGCCCATATCAAATAAACATAATCTACAATACTTTACCAACTGCAAGCCCAAAATACTAACTGTTTGTAGGGAAAACGACTTGTCACACATCTCAAAGAGTCTTTCAAGAGAGGCTAGAAGCAGGGAGTTGTTGTTCAGCGTATATCTTTTTTTCTCTTTACAGTTTATGACGCTTATGTAGTGTACTTACCACCCATCAAATCCATAACTAGAGCGTTATGTTTGCCTTGAGTACCAAAGTACAACGTCTTGGGTGCTTGGCAGGTCCCCCGCGTAACAAGATCTTCATAGCATCGATACTCGCGGTACAAGAGCAAGCTCTTCTCTTTAGCTTCCACTTTAGCAGCGACAAGCTTGGACTCTACGGTGTCCACAGCTTCAAGTACAAGATTAAGTGTGACTATTCAGAATTTTGATCAATCATGCATCTATTCGTTACTCACCAAGATACACTTGGCCACATGCTCCTGCTCCTAGCTGCCTAAGGAGCACGAAGCGGTCGTTGTCGACGGTGGATGGAGACATTGTGTTTACGAAAAAGTAAGTGGAGACAATGAAAGAAGGGAAAAATGCCAATGAAAGAACAATGTATCACAGCAATGCTTTTATATGCATCGTTTTTCTCTCTATTCTCAAAGCAGACATTCAAACAGTGCCCTCATAAGATTGGATGCATCAATAAGTAGAAGTATGTACTGAAAAAGGAGCGCTTCATTTACATAATCGTCTCATACCGCATGGTTGGATAACAGGATGATACTAGAGTGTTTATGCAACAAACGCTACCTGTTTCCCTTTAAGCGGACTAGTTCGCTCAAGCAACTAGCAGCACTGCGCGTTTTTAGTCCATTGTTCCGTACTCGCCATACAAAGGCCACTGCTTACTTTATACTTACCATCTCGCAACACTGTTCCATCGATTACAGACATTGATGAGATCTGCAAATAGCTGTATCAAGAGCACGATTAGCAGTGATGTTGCAGTACGTCGTGCTTACAACCTCATTCTCTGAGCAAGCGTGTGATTTTCTACTAAGTACATGTTTGCTGTTACACTCAACGAACGTCAACGAAACAATTCCGATGCTGCGGAAAACCTGTTTCCCTTGCAAGAGCATATGCATACTACCCTCACGTTTGTGTTAGGTTATGTTTTGAGGCCAATGTAAGCGCATACAAAGAAACGATTGAGGCCTATCCTTCTATTACTCAGTTGGCATGTATCCGACCTGCTTGCGACGGCATCCTGCCTGGATATATTTTCTAGCCTTGTTTGCTGTGCATGACAACAGCTGCTATAGAACACTGTTCATGAGGCACTTGTAGACAGTGTTTAGAATAACTACCGTTATTCTAGGGTTTCGACTACCGTCTCAATGACCAGCTACCCACGTCATCGAAAATCAAAGATTTTCTCTGACCACCCCTAATCATATTGATCATTTTTTATTATTTAAAAATAAAACTTAAAAATTAGATATAATAAAAAATTAAAAATTAAAATATTAATAAAGTATTAAACAGCCTTCATAGACACCACACTAGGACCCCCAGCATGCCAGATTCACTTCTTAGTTGCCGACATGTGATCACCTGACGTAGCGAAGAAAGTTTTCCCACCATAATCGCATAGCCGATGATTTCTTGTTTATGACCCCCCTCCCCTTCCCCCCAACACTCGCACGCACATAGAATGTGATTCATTGGTTTAGGGCTAGTTCAGATTGTTCAGTAGGTTCTATCGATGTTGTGGGCTGCGGTATTCCTCTCCCACCTTCCTTTCCCTACGCCATCAATGCTTGCTGTTGCCAATCATCAAGTTGTATGCCACCACAAGACAAGTCCTTTATCGCGTTTTGTGAACCGACGAATGCATCACTATTGGTTTTCCCTGCCAGCGCTGCTACCAAATACCGCGCCTCGTTAAATCAAGAAAATCGTTGCATGACAGGTACTTGTGATTACCGCCTACCTAGCCGTTTCAAAAAAATCACGGAAACGGATTTCGGAAATTAATTTCTCCGAGCGGTTAATCATGTAACCGAACCAAAATCCGTTTTCCAGAATATACTGCTAATCAAGCTCTATTGATAAATATCCACTGCCATGTCCGCACGCGCACTTTATAAAATAGCACGCTATGTACTGTAGCCTTTTCTGTTATATTATCTCAGCTTTTGTACACTATGTATCAAATGATTTTTTTATGGAGCCTTCCATCCCTAGACGGTTAGCATCATTAGTTGTTATTTTAATTAATCTTGCATGGAAAGCTTGCGCGCCCCAAGCAACTTTCCATCTTTTTATATCAAAATTCATTCTCTTGCAGTGTCCATGCTGATATCTTCTCTGTATCTGTCTATTTTGTAACATGACATGTGCAACTACTGATATAACCACTCATTTTTAAATGCTTACTGTTTTGTGCTGAGGTGAAAATTTGTTTAATGGTTATTGAATTTTATTGATTCTATATTAATGGTTCTTGTCTATTTCTCAACGCATCGAAGTGAACATATACACGATCCTCGCATGTATTAATATTTATTTAGGACATTTTGACATACCTTACAGACACCCTTGTCAGTGGCTCTGCCGACGAGCGTCTCTGCCTATCTGAACTGGTGTCGTGCAGTGTATATTGGTCTTAGATTGACTGGCACTCCCAGTGATACACTTGCCCCTGCGTTATTCTTGTCGTTTCTTGTCGAAACTGACGGATAATGTTACGATGCAGCTGTTGTGCATCCAAGTCGATGGCATGTGCAGCGATGTATGCACGTACATTTTGTGGGACGGCGTTATTTTCGACGGCAGGTGCAGCCTCGTGCCCATAGGAGTATTCGATGTTCAAGTAGAAGTAACCATTCACTCTACCGACCATGCCGCTGATGCGGCCATTGTATAAGAAAGTTGGCATACGCCGATACAATCGTAAACGAACGGCAGCTTGATCCTGCACATGTAAAATCTTGCGAGCATCGAAAAAGGAAAGAATAGCCGAACTTTTTTCGTGGTTCTGTTTGGTATGCTTCGTAGTAATGGTATCCGTCAACAGCCTGGATACAATCCCGGATTTTGATCACAAGTTGCGAATCTGACAACGCCAACATATCGTCGTCAAGTTGCACATACGCGTCGAGGCTGTAATCTTCGAGACTGTCGGCTACGTCCCTCAAATTCTGACGCGAAGGAATCAGCTCGAGTACTTCGTCCACTGTCAGGAGTAACTGCTCTGCGATTGGTTTACCGACGTCATTTTGGCGTTGATGGATTTTTTACACGTATTGTAATCTTATCTAATGCTAACAAAAAATAGCAAAGGGCGATAAGATTTGCAATTACTACATCTTTTCAGTTGAGGTTGCTCGGGTGTTTCTTGGGATTGGATTTGTTGCTGATTTTGCGGTTCCATTGTGAGGAAGAAGTGAAAAAACCTACTGAAAAATAGATTTTGGTTCGGTTACATGATTAACTGCTCGGAGAAGTTATTTTCCGAAATCCGTTTCCGTGATTTTTTTTTGAAACGGCTAGGGCTAGTTGTGATTACTTCTCAAAGCAATTTGTGGATTCTCTTCACAAGGACGACGCTGATCGCATTTTGCTATTCGTTTTTGGTAGATTGAAACCCTGAATGTCATGAGCAAGCCAGGTACAGTGTTGCTCTATCATACATAGAACCGCAAGGATGTGATAAGCCCAGGACTTGAAGCTAAGGCTGCTACCGTTATAATATCAGGACCAAGACCGGGCTCAGTTGCGTGCTGGGCCACACAGTGCGGTGCTTTACTTAATAGGGAACGTTGACTGGTGGATGGTGCAGGATCTTATTCATGCAGATAAAATGAGACTGTACTGGGGCAATATTTATCTTTCCATACGTCTGGGGGATAATAAAACCCATGGCCTCGCCTTGAAGAAGTTCTATTGCGTGTGTAGTAGAATGTGCACCGCCTGTGTTTTTTTCAACCAGGGGCAACAGCAGCAGTATGGCAACAACAGCATTTTAACCAAGCCTTTCGTTATCCGTCAAATCGATGAAGTATTCTGATTGCGTTCAATGTCCACACATTATTCGATATAAGCGTAACTGTAAAAGAAATCCTTTTTGTAGCATTTACTGCCATTGTTACCATGATGAAGCACATTTGGGTTCATTACTGAGGGTATGCCCGATGATGAGGAAACAAGTGCTGAACATATATATGGGCAGTCGCCCATATGCAATCAACGACTATATCTTGCTCTTATATACTGTCAGTCAATTCATTGTAACATATTCAGTTTTGGATCAAGCACCCTTACACCAGCACTGTCAACTTTCTAATAAAACTATATCTCAGTAAACAGAGAAATAACATGGTCATGCGCTATCTTGATCAAACACATTGTTCATTTCTGCTGCATACTTGAAAAAATTGAGTTTACAATAGCAGTTCATTCAGCGAGTTTTTCTTGAGATCGTCTAATCAGCGGTTATTTTCAAAACAGCTCCGGTAGCAGCAACAAGTGACATGATTTAGTCACCTATGCAATTAGAATGAGAAGCAGTAAGTAGCAATCTTAAAAGAGGCTCAATCCATAACAATTAATTTTACTGTAAATAGTAAATTAATTTTAGTTATTCCTTCCACCGTCAAGCTCCGTTCATTTCATTCACTCCGGGCGTCGAACTAAAGTTCTAGCCTAGAGGGGGTATGCTCACTACCGCTCCGCTACTTTTTAAATTAAAGATTAAACATTAAGAATATTAAAGTTTATATTTAAACAATGATATATCTTTAATTGATTAAACCTTTTTTAATTTATTGTTAAGGATTACCCCCCAAAGGCGCTGAGTTGAGATTCATCTAGACTTCTCTATTTTGCGACAAGATACCATACTTTTGGATTGGCGATTGGCGACAGACGAACACGAGAGGCCTTTGGTCCAGCCAGGTGATATGCCAACTGCTGCTCAAGATGATTTCCGTGACCCTTCTCCTATTCAGAGCTTTCAGTATATATAAAAAATGCCTCCATCTGATGCTTCATATGATACGTTGGTGTCGGTCAAAGGCAAGACGTTTCATTTTTTGACTTCCCTCGATGTTTGTTCATAGTCAAAGAATAAATATAGTAGTTGATTTCGATAAGTAAGCGACATCAGCGCTTCTAATCCCGACAGAAGACTCATAACTAAAAAATGAACGTTGTACTTTTGCAGGCTTCCTATAAGCCGAATATAATTTATAAGTGCATTCCATTGCATACAATAGATACACTATGTAACAGGCTAGAGCTAATGATTGTAGTATACGTGTAAATGCAGAGTTTTAAGATGTGTAAGCTAGTCATGTGTTGTGCTGTGATTGCTTCATTTAGAATTTGTTCGACGGTTCTTTGCTGGTGGTGATGTTGTTACTAGGTATAGTTTCGCTTATGAGTATCGGCAACCGTAGCGGACCTTTGGTGAGGGTGTTGTTGTTCCGATGCCGTCGAAGCAACAGAAGCAGTGAGCGTTTGAAACGAAGGGGATGGATTGGTCGTTCTTTATATTGTTCCTTTGCCTAACTAGAAAAACAAAAATGAGAATGTGTGGACTGTTGCACGCAAAGTATCTCCGGAATATATGCGATAAAAGAAAAAGAAGACATTTAAAAAAGGTGTCAAAACTTACAGCTGATTCGAACTCGTGCTGTTTGGCTGGTACCATAGTCGATATGTAGGTCATAATCCTGCTTCTTCGCAAAATTAAGCACTAATAAAAAGCCAAAGTAGTCAACCAGATTGGTTAAGGTGACATAACTACTAAGGTCGTACTTCTTTTTCTTGACCTCTTCCAACAACAGGTCTTTCCACAGCAGAGTGTAGCTTTCAAAGCGACAAGATCCATGTGACCGCGCAATTCTGAATCGTTCTGTGTACTTTGCACTATATAAACACAAGTGAGATTGTCAGTGGTGGAAACAAAATAGATAACAAATAACAGTTAGAAATCGTTGCTGCAGCTCAACTCACCCTCACCTATGTCGTCAATGCTTGGAAATAATGGCGTGCCCACAAATCAAAGACTTTCCCTCCAGGCAATATGTTTCTCGCCGACCTTATACTTTCTTGCTAGCCCAAAACCAATGAGATAGGTTTTCACTTCATTGCCGTTTACACCCGTAACAATATTGTCTGGCTTGATGTCGCGATGGAGGATGCCCTTCGAATGAATGAACTGCAGCCGCCGCAACTAAATTTCCAATGCCAACTTATCTTTCCCATGAGTCCTCAAAAGTCCCGCCGCATCTCGCCGGGTCTTGAAAATCCAGGGCTATTACGCCTACGTAAAACCCTGAGACAGGGTTAATATGTCATATTTAACCCTGAAGTCCTGAGCAATATTACTGGCTAAATACACGTACCTTGTTTATGGACTTTGACGCGCAGCATGATCGATCCATCCTAGTTGACTATGCTAATGACTGATCCGTGCCGATGTCCACGACATTGATCAACCTTACGGGTTGCTTTTTGTCACGTTTGATTATAATGGATACTGTATGTTGTATTACGCGTAGAGAAGTATGTTTATTTATTATTATTGTATATGATATATCATGACAACAGCTCTCTTTTTATATACCAGGAAACATCTCTACATGTTTCCACTTTTCTACATTCTCACCCATCCAATGCAAGGATCTTGGCTTTTGTTCTCCTCCAGCGCACCACTCAACCTTCGGATTTTGCCGCCAGAGCTCAACCATGCATATAGCTCTTTCATTTTGCTGCTGTAAACTATGATATTCGATAAACTTTTCGACGCCTTTGATGACCGCGTTCCTACGATTGAACTTTTTGGCTTGGTCGCTGCGCCACTTTGTTTTCCATTGTAACTCTAGGTCTTTGATAGCTGGGCCACCGGATATTCCTTCGTGCCATTCGCGCCAAAGGTCGGTCACTGTTGCTACACCATCGTTTAATCTGTAGTGTGGAAGTTGAGCAGTGCTGAAAAGCGACGAAGAGGTTGTGGCAGGCATGGGCGTGTTATTAGACAGAATTTGTGGGGTGATAGTGTCGGCAATGGATGGTGCGGTGTCAGTTAGAGCGGCAAAGGATGGAGCGACAGTAGCAGCTGCAGAGTTGGCAGCCGATGGTGTAGTATTGACCGGAAAATTCGTTGATTGAGATTGTGGAGTCCATTGAACCGATATCGTGAGGCGTCCGTTCGCAAGGTCACCCATAAACTGGTTGAATGTGCGGTTATGCTCTTCAACCAATTGTGTGTTGCGATCGACCTTTTGATTAAGATCGGTATACATCTGCCGTAAGAAACCATGCAGTTGTGGCATAGCTGTTGATAAGGTGAGGTCCTCTGGCGGGGGAGCCGTTTCGATGGAGGTCGCTAGATCACTGGAGTAATATAAATTATCGTAAGTAACTACATCATGTAACAGTCTAACTTATACGATACACATTTTGATTACTCACTTCTTAAATGCAGTATATTCCAGATCATTGAAGATAGGAGCATTCCAGATAGATAATTGAGGGTGGCGCTTCATCATTGGTACAGAGTCTTGTAAGAACGTCTTGCGTAGAATGCGTAGCATTTTGAGGAATCCGTCGGCAGCAACACTTTTATCGCCTTCGCCTTGATCGATCTTCTCTTGCCATTGGTCGACCCATGGGAAACCCTTCTTTTGTAACGTTTCCGATGGTTGGACGCCATCGCGAGGTAACCAGAAAGTTTTTCCATTGGCATTAAACGTTGCCATTGCGCGCAACTGTCGGCGAGGTAAGTTCGTCAAATAGGGTCCTTCCATCGCGTCGCTTGTCCATCGACCTGCGCGTCGGATAGCCGAATCGCCAGCCTCGCCCATATCCGCCATTTTTGCTCCAGACTTCCTTCCTGCATGCGTAACGGCTGTTGATACGATCTTGCATGCGTCGAATGCCTTTTTAAGTGCCTTGTAATGCGCCGGTTGCTCGACATTCTTGGTTAAATAAGCAGGGTCGCTCTTGCAGAGTTTAATGTTGTACCATGTTTGAGGCCGTGTTATATCCGGGAATGGTTCGCCTTGAATGTGCCAATGATGGAAAAAGTATAATCCTAAAGCCATCCATAGACAGGTTTCGACATGCGCACACCGGATGGCCGACCCATGCTCTGCTTTACCGAACTGGTTTGTCTTGCCATGGTCCAAGAGCAGAATCAAACAAGGGCATTACTTGTCAGGCGTGGGTCCTTCTCCTTGCAATGGGATGACATGTATATCTGCCAACTCGATTTGTCGAACATTCTCGCCACGCATGAACGCAAAGTGTGATACCAACATCATGACTGCGTTTCGATAGTGTTCGGATCTGTCGCGCGTCAGGAAGTAATTGATGATTTTGGCCAGTTCTTCAATCGTTGAGTATCCATCCAAAATGGATCCGGCAGCGCGATCTTTGAAGTTTGTACGGCGTCTCTTGATATCCTTTTTCCTTTCGTTTTTTAGCAACGACTTCACATCCGGAATTCGTGGGTTATTACTGGGATCGTTCAATCGAAGACCGCATTGGTCGTGGAAAAGCTGGATGATTGCACTGACGTACTGCTCAATCGTACTAAAACCGATCGTGTAAAACTCGTGTTCTTCCTGTTCCGTTTCGAGATCATGATGATCGTTCGTCTGTCTTTCGGCATTGGCTTCTAATTGTTTTCTGATTGTGGGACGACGGATCCTGCCAATGACCTATACAAGATGCAATAAAGTATAAGCAAGAAGTCCATAGAAAGTTGTCTAAGCAGATCACATAATTTTCTTTAGTTGCTAATAATAAAGTATACTTACAACTTGTTCAAGGAACAAATGCAATTTATCACCATTAACTTGATAGCGGATAGGCTCAGGGAACTTCATGTCATCGCACCACTTGCAGAATTCGCTCATCTTGGGATAGTATGCAAGCTTGGTGGCATTGGGGCGAAGCTCCTACGTCGTGCTTTGAGTGCGTTGTCTGAATGCTTGCATGGCTAGGTTCAATTCAGCGACGTGACCGGTGCCGCCGACTGCCCGATTGTTGCTATTAGCGGCTGGCTGAGAGGAAGAGGAGGAATTGAGGTTATATATTTGAGAGAGATAGTTGTGGTGTTGTTGAGGCATTGTAAATACAGAGGGTACAGAAGGTTAGATTGAAAGGCAATTTTCACTGTCAATTCCTCTCATAAAGATCTCCTTATATACCTTTCCAAAGATACAAGGCTGAGCATGCTAGCAAACCACTTTTGCTCAGATGGCTCAGCAAGAACAAAGTACTTTCTATGTATGAATACGCATGTTAATTGCTCCATCCATTTCAAGAAGTGCCTATATACTGTACTTCCGCAACTTGCATAACGCTTGCGCCTCTGCTCAGCACCTTACTCAGCCTTCGCTCAATATTATTCTTTATATGGATTGTTTTTTTTTCAATCAAATACTTAATCTATTTTGTAGTAATCAAGAATATTGTATTTTTTGTAATTGTATATGCCTTCTTTTTGAACTAACATTAAGGGTTTTATTATGGATTTTTGTTTCAATGAGAATAATCTATCAAGAGCTTCCGCACTGGCGCGCGGTTTACGAACCAAATTTGGGAATGCATATAAGAGATTCAAGTCCGCTTGTGGCTGATGACTCAAGTCTGGGACGCACAGGGAACCAGTTTAATATGCTCTACATATTAGTCGTCTAATTGTGGACTGCCCATATCAATAAACATAATGAACAGATACTATACTAATTGCAAGCCCGAAATACTGACTGTGTGCGTACGGAAAACGACTTGTCGCACATCTCAAAGAGACTTTGAAGAGAGGCTAGAAGCAGGGAGTTGTTGTTTAGCGTGTGTCTTTTTTTCTCTCTCTAACAGTTTATGACGCTCATGTAGTGTACTTACGACCCATTAAATCCATAACTAGAACGTTATATTTGCCTTGAGCACCAAAGTACAACGGCTCAGCTGCATGACAGGTCTCCCTCGCCACAAGATCCTAGTAGCATTGCAATTCGCTGCACCAGACGAGCTCTTTGCTTGAGCTTCCACTTTGGCAGCAACAATCTTGGATTTATCAGATGCCACAGCTGTAAATACAAAAGGTAAGTTGATCCATGCGTCCATTAGTTACTCACGATGTATATTCGGCCACATGCACCTACTCCTAGCTGCCTAAGAAGCATGAAGCGGTCATTGTCGACGATGGATGGAGGCATTATATTCACGAAACAACGTACGCCACAGAAAGGATAATATTTTGATATAAAGAGATGTAAGAGATGGACTAGGGTGGTTTCGCTCGCAGCAATGCCTTTTGAATTTTCTTGCAAGGCCAGAATCAATGAGATAGGTTTGCGTGGAACGGCTGTTGGCGGCGGTGGATGGAGGCATTCGACGATATGGTTAAGCAGTATCACATTCAATCTGGTTTGCCATGCTTGCAGGTGCGCCATCATAGGACCTTGACATTGTCGCTGAGAGAAAAATTCTTCTCCCCGATACAGAAAGCTAGAAGTGGGATGCATACTTTTCAGATGCACAGAAATGTATGGGGGAGTACTGTAGATTTTTACGTGCTTCACCTTCCGTTTTTGGATTATACATACTTAGCCTCAAAGATTTTCAGAGCTGCTCAAGCGACCGAATTTTATGCTAATTTGCTGTCTTATCCATGTATTAGACCCTCCCTTGTATATGGTTTTCTGTTAGCTAGTCTTCGTCTGCCGCGGTTCCATATATTGGCGTCGTTTTTGCTAGCCAAAAACAAGTTGGGAAATAGCCACTTGTTGTTCAACGTAATATGAAATGTCGAAAGCGATCACGAACAAAAGTCATTAGCAAGCAAGGAATGTATTATGGCTTCTCCGTGTGACAGAAAACCGTTGGTATAGATCAACAAGGGATGTGGTTTTTTCTGTTATGCTCAATTTATACATTCAGCAGCTGTCACTTTTCATGTCTCATGTTAACAAGAGTAGTACTGTAGATATCATGACCGAAGAGACACTGAGATCACCTTGTACAATTATAAGCAAAACATATTAAACAAATGTGGCAGTAGTTTGATGGTCAAGCTGAGAAAAATACGATTTTATTCGGGCCCTTTTATTCTTGCGCCTTCTGCGCTTTTCTGTGCGATTCCCCGTTGTTGATACTGCTACTGCTATTGTACTGTTTTCGCTTGCGTGCATTGGTTGCTGCAGCGAGAATGGGAGCGGGAGATTCGGGTGCAGAAGGTAGTGCATAGGAGGCGGCTGGTGACGATGACAGTGATGGTGATGATGGTGGTGGTGAAGATGACGGTGACGGTGAAGATGAAGGTGATGGTGATGGTGAAGGGGTAATGGGTTTAACACGAAACAGTTATTTACATATCCTCATTTAGAAGGAAAGAAAACAAACATACTTATTTCCATCTAGATAGGACTTATTCAGACATACCTTTTCGAGGGGGATTCTATAAGTATCATTATTTAATGAGAAACTAAATGTCTTTTTTTTTATAAAAATAGTGTTATTTAATTGATGCTATCTAACTTTATTAATTTATTAAAAAAATGTTAACAAATTTATCTTTTGAAATTTTAGCGATCGCCCTAATTCCCCCTTCGTATCCTGCTATTAACTTCAAACTTAGTTTGGGTTATATCTAGTTATTGGTTTAAAATACATATTTATGAATGTAATAGATTATTACAAACTTATTATTCTTTATTACAGAATAATATTCTATTCATTATAAAGTTTATTAAACATAAGTATTACTATTCTACAGATAAAAATCACTTTAGATTTGCATCTGTATTATTAATTCCTAATATTCTAGTAGATTTTATTCATCTTTAATTTATAGAATTTATTCACTTCTTGAATGATAATCTTTCTAACATTTTTACAGGTTCTTTAGGTTTAGTATTACTAGGTTTATTAATTTATATAAGTTCTGCCCCTAATTCATCTAATACAAATCCTTCATCAAAAAATACTTTTAATGTTAATTTTGGAGGTGGAGGTGTAGGGTCAAATATTCATCCATCAAATAGTAATTCTAATAATGATAAACTAATTACTTCTCCTGGAGTTGCTGCAGGAATTATTTCTGGAACAACAATGAGGCTCAATCTATAACAATTAATTTTACTGTAAACAGTAAATTAACTTTAGTTATTCCTTTCACCGTCAAGCTCCGTTCATTTCATTCACTCCAGGCGTCGAACTAAAGTTCTAGCCTAGAGGGGGTATGCTCACTACCGCTCTGCTACTTTTTAAATTAAAGATTAAACATTAAGAATATTAAAGTTTATGTTTAAACAATGATATATCTTTAATTAATTAAACCTTTTTTAATTTATTGTTAAGGATTACCCCCCAATAACTGCTGCAGTTAAAATTGCAAAAACAAATCCTAGAAATGGATTGTTTTTAGGTGTTGTTAGTACTATTGGTGGTTTTGCTACTTATAGATTAGGTGAAATGATGAATCATAACTATGAAGAAAGAAAGAAAGAAAAAAAATGAGAGAAATGTGTGAAAGAATGTATTATCACTCTATTGAAAGATCTGGTAGTCCTCCACTAGATGGAAACTTCAAAATTAATTCTCCAAATGAAAATAGTAATAATTTTGTAGAATTAATTTCAAAATGGATTGAAAATCCACAAGATGTATTTAATTTATTGAATGAATATTTTAGAGGTAGTGATGGAAATCCTACTCCTATTTTAATTTTATGTGTTTGTCTATTTACATTTATTGGAATTCTTGGTTGTTTCTTTTTAATTATAGGTATATTAAGTAAACTAATTTAAATTGAAGAACGAGAATTTATTAAGAATAGACCTCTATTACATAAATTAGTTTGCCTTGTTATTTCATTAAGAGATTGGAATAATTTTGTATTATTAATAATTATGTTATTATGTTATATTGGAATTTTAGTTATTTGCTATTATTTAACCGAATCATTCTGGGTTGATGATTCATATAAAAGATTATTATTCTATAATAATAATAAATAATCTCCCATGATATCAATATTTGTTATTATTATTTTATAAAATTCTCCCCAGATACCTTGATTTATGCCTTCTCGTGGTAGTACTGTAAGTAGAGATAATTAATCATAAAACTAAATAAATCATTACTTAAAAATTAGATGCTATCTAATTACTTACTTACTTTAAAAATATAATGTTTACAAACTTATTCTATATTTTTAGCGATTGCCCTGTTTTCCCTTCAGATACCTACGATTTAAACTCTTTTACAGAGCTTATTTCAAGTTACATTAGGATAAAAACACCTGATGGTTTAATTATTAGTAATATCTGGATTAATACTCCGGATAATTTACTTTTAGCTTTATTACCTTCAGTGGTATGTATAAATAGAAACCCTTCAGAAAATAATATTTTAAATTCAACTTTTAATGATTTACAGTCGTCCCCCGCTTTTTGCAGCAGTGGTTTTTGGTGGAAAAAACTGCAAAAAGTGGGGAATTGCAAAAAGTGAGGATGAGTATGAGATGTTACACAGACCGCGTCTATTATGTCAATCAAGTGTCAATGATAGTAAACCAATTAAAAGTGTCGGTACTGTGCTGAGGCTACTTATTATAACTCAACTCTTATATAAAAGGCTGTCATCTCACTCTTAATGTTTATATACTGCACTATCAACACCTCCACACCACTATAGTAAAAGCGAAATACCAAAAGCTGACTGAATAGTAAAACGATGCTATCTATCAACATTACATGTAGATGTCACTGGTTCGAGACTCTGTGTCCTAGGCTCCCGAGTTAATAGGACACTAGACTATATATTGTTATATCATGTAATTTTATAAACTACTTGCTATTTATAACCTAGAAGAAAGTTATTGCATTAAATTATTATCATGAGATAAAATGTTTATCAATTAAAAAAATGTATATGATCTTTTATATAATATTAAAAAAATTTAATTTTAAAAGGCCTATATAATATAAAATGATTAATAATAAAAAAAAATAAGATACTCTACATATATAAATTTTTTATTAAAAATAGACTACTATATCAAAATAAAATTATTTTATTAATGAGATACGATCTAATATTATTAATATAAAAAATTATTAAAAAATCCTTATAATTAAGATAATAAATAATTCCAAAAATGAAAAAACAAATAATTAGAGTTTATATATTGATTATATATTAGTAATAGAAAAAAATATTTTATTTAAAAAATATAAAAAAATAAATAATTTCCAATTTCTAAAAAGTTTTTATATTCCAATAAATATAGACATATTATAATAATATATCTATCTTATTAAAATAATAAAAGTTACGTATTACACAAAAAAGGAAATATGTATTCCTCTACCAGATATTTTATCCTCTCTTCTGCGGAGGTGTGTATAAATTGCTTGCTACACAACACGTTTTTTCTTTTCTTTTTTTTATTTCAGTAATTTAGCGATCTAAATTGAACATGGCAGCAACAACAACAAACAAGTATCCGCCACGCCCTACAGATGAAGAGATCTGGGCAAAAGTACTCACTACGAGTCTATACGTGAGGCCTACCCCACTGGAATCAAGCACCTCGCATTCAGCTACAAGACTCTGTATATGGAACCAAACGCGTGCATGGGTGAAATCGACGAAGCAATTGCAGAATTTCACCAGAAGAAACAGCACGCTATGGAGAAAACCAAGAAATAGTTTTTTTTTTGTTATAATAAACTTTAGTTTGTTATATTTATGCCTTAAGTAAACGAGCGAAGCGAGTGAGTTCGGGTTTAGAAGGAAGTGTGGTTGGGGGGTACACCCCAACGGGAGGGCTCGCGGGGGAGAACGTCCCGCAAAAGTTTTTTTTTTTTTTTTTATCCCAACGCAGTAATAGTCAAACGTTCTTTTACTTTTAACTCTCTGACATGTCAACACCCATTTGTAACTCTTGCGGTTTGCCGGGCCACCAACGCGTAACTCATCGTGATTGCCTAAACAATCCTTCTAGATTGGCAATGCGCCAAAACAATGAGATTGATGAGCGCGATTTCGACATTGTTCGCGAAGCGCCAGAAGCTGTGCCTGTCTGTTCCAGTTGTGGGCAAGAGGGTCACTCACGAAGGTCACATCGTGATTGCCCTAATAATCCGTCAAACAACGAGAATCTCACTACACCTACTGCTGCTCCAGTTCATGTATGCTCAAGCTGTGGACA